CTTATCGTTTGTTAAAAAAGAATCATTTGACAACTAATTTAATCACATTATTATCCGCGTGCGAAATACTTTTTTATAACTAGCATTACAGGTCTCTTAATATGTTTTGAATGTGTTTAAAATAGAGAAAATAATATTTAATAAACAACTAATTGAATCACATTATGAAACTAAGCCCACCTCCTTCCCCATTAGTATAAATAATATTGTTTGTTACAAAAAAAAAATCATTTGACAACTAATTTAATCACATTATTATCCACGTTCGAAATATCTTTTTTATAACTGGCATTACACGTCTCTTAAGATGTTTTGAACGTGTTTAAAAATAAATAAATTGAATCACATTATTACTAGCTATTGTGAGGTACTAATTTAAAAAAAAACCACAAAATCATTCATTATTAAAAAAATAATATTAAAATGACGAAAATGCCCTTGTCTTATTTGATGCATTATTTTGAGATGCCTTTGAAGTTTTTTGTTTTGGGAGCATTTTTGTCCAATTATTTTTGGTAAAGCATTATGACATCGAAACACTATTCACCTTTTGTGTTCTTTTTATATATAACTAGCAGAGAGCACACACTTTGTGTGTGTGAACAATTTCTCTTAATAAGTGCATATTTTTTTTCTATACTATTATATTAAGAGAAGCCTCATTGTCAACTTTTCCCCTTTTTTTTCCTATTTTGTCCTTCTTATGTATCAAAAGTGTTATTAAGAGAAGCCTCCTTGTCAACTTTTTCCTCTTTTTTTCCTATTTTGTCCTCCTTATGTAAATATTGTGTATCAAAAGTAAGGGTAAAATTGGAAAAATAAGTATATGATTGTCATTTTCTCAAAAAAAAAAAACATAGTAAAATAGGAAAAATATGTATATGATTGTCATTTTGTCAAAATATACAAAAATACTATTTAGTCATTCTTTTTGTCAACATTGTGTATCAAAAGTGAGGGCAAAAAATGAAAAAAAAAGGGCAAAAAGTTGACAAGCCCTCTTCTCTTAATAGAATAGATAGATAATGGAGAAGTACATGTGTTACAATGACTTTGGCCTACAAAATAATTGCTAAGAGAATCTCACCAATTAAGTGTAAGAGAGATATTCGTTACGAAAGAGACTGGTATGGATTTGAACCCATGACTTGTTTGTTTGTTTTTTTTTTTTTTACAAATGATACTATTTATACTGAAGGAGAGGGAGATAGGTTAAGCCTAGATCTCTTACTTATAACTAAGGAATAATACCACTAGATCGTAGTATTAAATGATAATGATATACAATTTTTTTCTTAATAGTCGGATAAAACTTATAGCCTTGCAATGAAGTATGGTTTTATTTTTGTTGCCAAAAGTCATCATGTCTACCGTCAGCGCTTCCACCAGTGACCAACGCTCGTGACTGCGCATAACGTCATAGTGTTATATTAGAATTTTGGGTGCGTTTGTTGCACCGGATTGTCTCGGACTGAATTAGCTGCAGAGACTAAGCTGGAATGGCTTAGACTAGACTAAGCTAGACTAGCTTAGTGAAGCGTTTGTTGCAGTATCGAACTAGGAAGCCGGATTATAATATTATATTATTTAATCTATATCTATTGATATTTTATTATTAATTTAATCTTATATCAATTAATATTTATTATTTCTTTATCATTTTCCATTTTTCTAGAGTCATCTTCTTCTCTAATCTTTATACATCTCAATTTTTTCTTTCTCATTGTTTACTCCTCCAGTGTCGCCCTCCACTCTCCCCTTTTCCTCTTTTTTCTACTCCGCCCCCTCCCTTTCTCCCGTTTCACCTTTGTACCACTATCCTCTCTCCCCTCTCTCCGTTTGTATTTATTTTGTTTCACCTAATATGAAACGCTTGAAGTGGGAGCCAGAGTTGCAGGTAAGCGGAGAGATTTCAAATTGCGAAGATCGTTCTCGGATCTTAAGTTCTTCAAGCGAAGATCGATCTCTCTGTTTTCTGGGTCTGATTCAATTTCAATCGAAGAAAATGGAGAACCCATTTCTGCATATCGACCAAGTGTTCTTTTGTGGGTTCGTCAGGAAATCAAGGTTGTGGGTTCGTCGGGAAATCTGAGATGTGGGCTCGTCGGGAATTTGCAGATTTTGTTTCTTTTTTATCCAGAAAAAAGAATTGCAGTTGACGAGTTTGGCGTTGGAGATGAAATCGTGCCCGAAGTCTTTGCCGTCAAAATCAAGGTCAAAGAGGTGAATCAAGCAGGACGAAGTGAGATGCCATCGAAATCGAGGTCGAGGAGGTGAATCAAGCAGAATGAAGCGAAGTTCCTAGCTAATCCCGTGGTTTTTTGGGGGACTTGTGAAGACCGGCTAGCGACGCCTCTAGTGAAAGCAAGTCCCAGTTAATCTCATTAACTAGTCCCATAAGCCACCAAACACAAGACTACAATCCAATCCAATCCAGTGAAGACTAAGAAGGGTAAACAAACGCTCCCTTAAGGTTTTTTTTTTATGAATTAGAATTTTAAGTTTTGCCGATGCTTTTGACCTTTTGTTATTTATTTAATTTTGTTCTTAACCCACTCTATAACTTCTGGGCCTGCATTATCTTATCAATATCTTTGACATTGCAGTCACTCATAAGATGTCTTTAAAAAAAAAGCAAATAGCGATTAAATTAATATGTATAGTTTGAAAAAAGGTACCCCTTGAAAAGTGGACTTTGTCTATGTCAGGTACATAAATTATTTCCGTCTAATAGAAAATGGCGTGGAATGGAATTCTGCAAATCTGACTAAACTTTGTTTATATATATATATATATATAGACACACACACACACATAATTATTCCTCCAGTCTGCGCCTGGACATTTGTGGTGCCTTGGGGGTTACGGCTTAACAACACATACACTTCTTATATGAAATTACTTTTTAAATCGTCATTCTATATAGCCGACTGATTGACACGATCTGACCTGCAGGTTTAGACCCTGACCAATGAATTTCATTAAACAATAAAGTTTGTGAATGCAAATTTCTTCTTTTTTGTTCTTGAATAAAATTACACCTATAAAATAAATAACATTTTAGGTCAAGACCAAGAGACTCACGTGCCCACGATAAATGGGGGCTTTGGCCAAAAAATCTCCGATGCTAAAATTAGAATTTAGAGAGAAAAAATGTTTGGAGAATTTTGAGAATTTAGTAAGAGAATTGTAATTGAGTTTTGGAGAGATGATGGAGTTTTAATAGGGGTGTGGCCGGCCCCTTTGGGAGAGAAAGGACCGGCCACTTGGTTCATTTTGTGGGCTAGGTTCTTGATTTGTGTTTAATAAGGAATAATTGAATAATAAATCAATTAATGAGCTAATTAATAGAATAATTTCCTAATTGATTAGCTAATTAATATAATAAAAGGGGAATGATTTGGAAGTTACCTTGTGGAGATGATTTGATGAGGATAGATGAAATAGGTTTTGAATTATTACCTATTTTTGGCACTTTTGACTTGGTTGAGGGTTGATTGACCGCTGCTGGCGCGTAAGCATCCCGGTATGCCTCGAGGGTAATTTTGTCATTTTAACCTAAAAATCCATGTATTGCCTTGTGATTATTTGGCTCCACAAAGTTCACGAAGATGATCGATGTTGCATGAATAGTAGATTGCACAGTAGTTGTGATATACCTTATGACAAGGTTTATACAAGCTGATCAGCTCGGAAAATATTAACCAAATAGAACCGGACGTTGCATTACATCAGCAGTAGATTGGTCATGATTTGGCTAAGCATGGATGCCATTATCTACAATTAGGTGTCACTAACACTACTGTTCTTTATTTTCTTATTCATTAGGTTTAGAGCACAACCTTGTATATTTAGAGTTTTTAAATCCTGTGAATAATTTCATCCCTTGTATTTCGATTACCATTTACAATTAGAAAACAACTGCAATATTATTGCGCCAACTCGTATCCAAACTGTTAAATCTTGATTATCCGAAGTAGCATAGTTTCATTCATTTGTATTTGAACTCTCTTTTTTGTAGTCTTAGGGCCACCGACTCAGATCCGAACTTTTTAATTCCAAATGTGCTGGAGTAACTTCATTTCTTTGTATTGGACTATTATTTGGGATTTGTAATCAACTGTCATATTAGGTCGTTAGTATCATTTCTTTAATTTTTTTCATTAAGGAAAAACATTAAAAGCAATTATTCGCCCTGTTAAGGAATACAGGGAAAATCTTGCCTTATAATTTGGATGAAAAAAAGGCTCGCCGAATATATATATAGCTAAGATGAGTACATAATGGAGACATATATATATATATATATATATATATATATATATATATATATATATATATATATAGATAAGAAGAGTACATAATGGAGACAAAGGTACCTTGGCCAAAATCCAAATCATTTGAGTTCTAAAGAGGTATGCAAATGCAAGAGTACATTTCTTGCAAAAAATCAATTCTTGTATTGTGCTTTGAAAGATGTGATTTATTTTAGTTTTGTAGATTAATATAAATAGATTTAAATAATTTAAATTAAACATTATTTTTAATTTCCAATAAAAAAAATTAATGGCTTTACCCGACGAACAGATTCGTCAAGCAAACTGTTATTGCATTTTTATTTTAGTTTTGTTAAACAGTTGCTTTCGTCTGGCTAAAGTATTTAATTTGCAAATTTGCAAAAACTTGACGAAATTATGTCGTCGAGCAAGATATATCCATCAACCAAGGGTGGTCAACGCTCCTTTACCCGAAGACTTTGTTTCGTCCATTGAAATTTTAGGTGACGAATCCTTATTTAGCCCAAAAAAAGTATTTCGTCTGGCAAGGAATTTTTTGTAGTGTTAATTGAAAACAATTTAAAAAGAAGAAAAAAAAAAGAAAAAAAAACCAATAAAACTAAGGGAAATGTGGTCGCCTTGGTGAAAAAATACAAATAAAAACCCTACTTCTATTCAATAAGAGCTTTCTTCAAGGAAATTGCCTTCACTTAGGTTTATCCATATCGACAAAAAATGAATAACATATCAACCAAATATCAACAGCATATTAATGAAATATCAACGTTTGGACAACATATGGATACATATTGAATTTTAGGAAGAGGGCTTTGCAATAGGGTCATCGAACCAATTTCCCTAAAACTAATGTGCCTACAGCTTCGATTCAATTGTTCTATCCATCCAGTACCACTTGAGTCTTGAGTTACATCATGACTTTATTAGCTAAGTTTGTCTTAAGTAAAAACCATAACACTAACCCTTGTTCAATAATCTTCAACTTATTGCATGACAAATTAACCATAATCTTGAATTATGATCAACGCCCCTTGCAAGCTGATCTTTCTTCCAGCATTCGAAGGCCAACATGCCTGCCCAAAGAACAAAATTTGGAGTGGGAAAACAACAATATCATATTATTAGAAAGAAAAGAAAAAAAACCAAATAATTTATATTTCGGATGATTTAGTAGATATTATTTAGTTAAATATAATTAAATAGTTGTATAATGTATAGGTAATTTCTCATGGTTTTATTTGAATGCATGTAACATGCATACCTGCCTAACATCATAAGAGTGGCTTGAGGATTGGTCCCTGGTGATAAACTTTTGAACACAGATCCATCAACAACACGTAATGCCTTGATCCCCCTGACCCGGAAATCTCCATCAACTACCTTTCCGACGAGGCATCCACCATGGTAGTGCCAAATTGTGGCTACTGTATCTCGACAGAATGTTTCAATGGATGCAACATCTGACTGGTTCATTGGTAAAGGTGGTCCAAAAAGGTTAAAACCATTTTCGCCTGGCAAATCTCGAATCTTAAATGGTTTCAATGAGGTTGTTTTTAATAAATCACCCATTTTCCTCACGGCACTAACACAACGAGAAAGGTCTGCCTTCTTTGCAAAGTAGTTAAATTTGACACTTGGGCCGACTTTGACATCATAGGATGATTGCAGTTTAAGAGAACCATAGGACAAGGGTGCTGGATTTTTGGTAACAATGTGCCCGAAAGTTGAATTTATCGTCATGGGAATAGTTGGATTAGGGAAAAGACTAAAGGCCATGGTAGAAAATGGTAAGCCGGAGAAAGTCTCTATATAGTAATCACTTGTGATACCAGCAATCTGTGCAGTAGAAGGTTCTAGTTCAGATGGCGGCAAAATGGTAACGTAATGACGAGGATTGTCACGCATAAACTGCCCAACGTAAGGTTGTGGGTGAACAACTGGGATTTTAAGAGATGAAAGGTAGGACTTCGGGCCAACACCGCTAAGTAGCAGAAGTTGAGGACTCCCAATTGCTCCTGCACTCAATATAACCTCACCCTTACCACGTATCAATGCCTGATGAGACCTCCCGTTAGAATCAGTGTATATGATTCCTTTAGCTGACAAACCTGCATTAAATCGATATTAGAATTGAACATATATTTAATTTACAAGTTATTAAATACATAGAATATATTCAAATTCTTCAAATATATCTAGGCGTTTTTTTTTTTTTTCTAACGCCCTGATAGATTTGATTTTTGTTTTTCGATCGAAACATATTAATGTACCTGCACGTATGTATATTCACAGTTATATGTACGCAACATACAAGATCAAAATCAAAGTCCAATCGAAACCCAATCTAAAATGGGTTTAATGAAAAACATAAGAAAACCTATCGAAGGATGAAAATCTAAATGGCCTTTAATTGTATATATCAAATGTTAGCATACCTGATGCTTTGGAAGAGAAAATGATCCTCTCTACTGCGGCATGAATTGCAACTCTTAGGTTTTTTGGATGTCCTTTATTTAGCAGTTCCACAGCTCCATGTCTTCTTCCACGATCGTCAAAGATCGTACCCGTGATTTTAGTTCCCTGAATGTGGTCCAAAGTAAGTCCATTGTCTGGACGAACACCAGCTTCTAACAGTGCATCTTTCACAACAGATTGCCAGTGTGATAAATTCGGACGGAATACTAGAGTGTTTTCAACCCATTCATATGAATTATTGACTAAGTTCATGTCCAATTTAATTCCTGATTTCTTGAGGAATTCACTGTCGGCTCTTGAGTAAAGACCAACATTGATCATACTTGACCCGCCCAGGACCCGTCCTCTTACAAAAGCTACACCATCTTCTGATGTGAACCTCTGGGCCGGCGTCTTACCGTCATCTTCTTGCATGAAATTTGCAAGAATCCCAGCGTTACTCAACACGTTTGGATATGCTGTGGGAATATCTCCCCTTTCTAGAAGGAGCACGGAGTAGTTCGCGGATAAAGTTGCTGCCAATGGGCACCCTGCCGTGCCCCCTCCAACCACAATGTAGTCATATTTTTCTTGCAATGGTAGATCAGTTGCGTTACGTACAAATTTCAAGTAGCTAAAATCTGCAGTATATGAATAAAGAGATGAGGAAACAAGATTATATAACGAGAACTGTCCGTTATTAAATTTATTTGTCATGGAAGTTACTTGAAGAACCAATGAGACTTTTAAAATATATTTAGTACCTTGGACGTCTGAAGGAGTGGCGAATGAGTGAACCCCTAATTGAGGGCAGAAAACAAAAAAGTACAAAAGAAACAATATAGCAGCAATTGCTGAATTCTCCATATTATTTTCGAAACAAGATATACGTTTTTCTCCTGAAAATAAAATATTAAAAGAATAATTAGTTTCTTGTTCTTCAAATAAAGACTTTTGGAGTAAATTGCTCTCGAGCCATACTCTAAAACACACAAGTTCCCACAAGTTTTTATTTGAGCTCCATATATGGAGTTGAAAGAGCCCGACTCTAAACTTAGAGTTTAGCAACCAAATCCTCTCCCAACCCATGTCCATTTGGTGCTAAAAATTCAATTTCTACATTCCCAAGTTTTAGGACTACTTTTCAAGTTGCTATTTCTAATGGTTCCCACCATCAAAAGCACTTGAATGGTGTGACTGGGCTTGATGTGGACGCGCTGGGAGGCACGCAAACGCTGTCTCACTTAGCATGCAGAAAACTTGAAAAAAGTTTGCGCCCAAGCTGGTTCAAGGCAAGGACCAAGTCTCTTGTGTTGGTCATGTTATTGCGGCATATATATGATATATTCCTTGGTTTTTTTTTTCAGACATTTCCTATTTTCAACATTGAAGTCAATATTGTCACAAATTGTGCGATTTTGACTTCTTGTCAGAATTAAAATTTTTAAAGTTAAAATGTTCATAAAAATAACTTAAGATAACAAAATTTATTTGAAAAAAAAAAGTTAACAAAAGAAATTTGAGACTAAACTACTTGTTTGACATTTAAAATAGCTAAAGTGTTAAATTTTAGCATTGCAAGGTTGGAGGAGAAAAATAATTTGACAACCTAAAATTTGTCTTTTGTTTGCCAAATTTTGCATTTGGCAACTCCCCACCGGAGTTGGTCTAAAGAAATCTTATTTTCCTTCAATCATTTTTTCTTTTTAACAAATATTCTATCATAATTTAAAATAAAACGTTCCTTTTCTCAAAAAAATTATACCATTACAAATTTCTAATAAAGATTTTTTTTACAAACAAAAGGATAATATTTTAATCCTTCATATATAAACTAATATAATTTTGTAGTTAATATAAGTGCAAGAGAGAATACTCTTAACCAATTGAGTCACAATTTGTAACAAATTTCCTATAATCTAGCCTTTTGATTACACTCTTATCCGTTAGAGATAATTGTCAAAAGAAAAATGGTTAGATTCAAAATTATTTTCACAATAATGCTACAATTTAGCAATAATTATTTACGATTTAAGATATTTTCTTTCCAAAATAGTTTAAAATATTTTTAAATCCCCAAAATCAAACGTATCAAAATAAGTTCTTCTTTTAGTATGTTTAGAGAAAATAGGATTGAGAATAATATAAACGTACCAATACACAATGTGTACAAAATAAAACGTACCAAAATAAAAATAATGTACCAATATTAACAATACCTAAATCCAAATCAAAAGTACCAAAATTTCAAATAAACGTACCAATTAATGATTTTTGTAAATTCAAACGTACCCGCAGATAATATATACGTAATGTCTTGTACCTAATAATAATTCGTCAACAACTGTACTTAAATAAAAAACAGCAAAAAAAAAAACAACAACAAATTATATATATATGTATATAATTTCACAAAAAAAATTGAAAAAATTACACGGAGCTTTTATATTGATCACCAACTATTTGAAAAAGAAAAAAAACCATTTGGAAAAAGAAATAATATTAAATGTTTGCATAAAAAATGTGATCGAAAAAACATATTTGGAAGAAGAGAAAATATAATTTAATTAATAATATCTCCACTAAATAAGGAAAAGTGCATCATGCAGATAAAAGGATAAATTCAAAAATTATTTTAATTTAAAAAAAAATAGAGGTGACTATTGGTCAAAGTACTTTAATCAAATTTTAAAAAGACACAGATGTTGAATCTAAATAATATAGAAAAACTGTAGGGGATTCTAATTTTCCCTAAATAAAAAGGAAGAAGAATATTTTCACAAAATAAAAGGGGTGTGCTATCCACACATTTCTTTTTACTTCTTACATACTCTCTTAATTTTCGGCTGTCGAATCGAATGAATTGAAGAATATCAAAAGCAGAAATTAATAAGGAGTATGTGAAAACTAAAAAGATGTGTGTGAATTTCACACCCAAATAAAAATAGAACTAGGAAATAGAATTTTGTTGGAATATTCGATTATGAAGTGTGACATATAGAGTATGATTGGACAAGTAAACTTTTAGAGTTGGAATAGTATGAAGTTATATTATTTTAAAATTACATTTATAATTCAGAACTGGTGGTTATATTTTGGATTCGTCGTTCTACAATATCATTATTGATAGTGTCATTACTTATTATCTCGACGTATACAACCAAATTATAACAGTTATAACCACATATTTACTTTCACTATGTAATTAGACTATTTTCACTTAAGCGATCACAACCATTAATTTAGCTGCCATAAGCGAATACAACTTCCTTTTTTTTGGAGAAACGAAGAGATTATATTATCGAGCCTCTTGGGCAACCAGTACAAAAGGAAGTCGAAGTGCAAAGCATACCTTATGCTCGTTGGAACAAGATTGACCCAAATATAATCAGACCGAATAGAATGATTAAGGGTTGGTTTCACATTCCTGAATGTTTTTTTCAAAGTCATTTTAAAAAAATATTGGAGCTAAAATTGTGTTTGATAAATTAAAAAAAAAGTGTTTATTTATTTATTGTTTTTTTTCAAAACATGAGTCTAAAACAGTAGAAAACCCTTGCTTATGAAAACAATAATTTTTTTTTTAACAGCACAAAAACGTCAGACTAGCCCTAAAATAGTCAATGCATTTGCCACAATATTGGCCTCCCTCCGCACATGAGCAAGTACAACTTTTGTGAAAGTCTTTTGAGAAATACTGGAAATCAAATAAGAAATTCAAACGCATGAAGACTATTGCATAAAACTTACACTGAAGCTAATTGTTGGAAGTTCTTACTAGGGTATTCGGATCTGTAGCAAAAAGTATATTGGAACGATATATAGAGTTTTTGGGGTCATGTGAACCCATTCCCCCTTCCCCCTTCCCCCTTCCCCTCGCTACTGCATGTGAACTTGACATTAGTGGTGGATTTAGAATTTCAATAGTGTGAGCTTTCTAATGTACAAATTTTAAAACAATTTAGATTCAAATACCATTTAATTTTTTACAATAAATGCTTTTCATTCCTAAATCATGATAGTACAAATACTAAATTTGTTTACAACAAAGTTTCATACTACAAAAACGTTTCATTATCAATACAAAAAAAAAAAGAAATTTACTAAACAACTAAAGCATCACTTAATTATTAGTCTCTCATTTGTTGAGAAGTGAATGCTTAATGATATTCATGGCGAAAAATGCACTATTCACTAACGCATCTGTAACTGATAAAACTGAAACCAGTTCAAATTGGAATTATTCAGAATAAAAAATAATAAATCATATGCATTAATGAAGACATAAAAATGTATATATGAATTAACTAGCATATGATCAAATTAGTAAAAAAATAACAAACCATATCACAATAATTATATCAATATTTTCATCTAATTTCTATAAAAAAAAAATATTTTCATCTAGTACACATAAGACAAAAATATAAAATCTCATGTGACGGTGGAGAGAGGTGGATTAATGGTGGTGGGTTTCCATTGGGATTCGGGTTGGATGGGTGGATTTGGGTTTGTGTTAATTAAATGAAGGAATTGCATGAAAAAGACTTGGGCCTCGGATTTGTAGATGAAAAAGACTTTTAATTTTTTTTTTAAGAGTGGCTTGCCCAAATCGATACTGTTTTGACCAGTTCATTAAAATCAAAATTAAGATTAGTAATGCTACAATTATTATTTATTTGTATTATATTTCTAGTAGAGGTAGGGCGGCCCGTCAACGCATGTATATCTTATTTCTATTAAAAAAATGATACAAATATATGATAAGAGTATCATTTTTGAATTAAGACTTCTTCATCTTCTTCCTTAACCCTCTGCTGGTTGATGCGCTACAATCTATAGAGTTCTAAAACCAACACATATTCAGTCCATTGGGTGGATCTCAAAGGTCTTCACAAGTGCTTCTTAGAACTTTCAGAAGGTCCCGAGACCACCCGGATTTGTTAATAAATTCGTCCTGGCTTCACACATGAGTCAACCTGACTCAAATACCATGTTAAGCATAAAAACTCAAATACCACGTTAAGCATAAAAGAAAGCAGTTAATGAAGAGGAAAACAGAAGAAACACTGTATATTTCATAGACTGAAGGGAATGAATAACAAACTTAGCCTTCCCTTTCTCTACTTTCACGGCCCTTCATTTCTTACACTTGACAACAATAACATATTTATTGACAAGATCGGATTAGACTGTTAGTGAAAAAAAGAGACGAGATTTACCCGAGACAATATCCCGTTTGGTTTTGAAGTTATTTCCAAGAACTCCTTACCGGCAAGGCAATGGCATAGATTTGCTGTATCTGATTCCTCCTTATATAACTGCTCCCTAGGCCGCTGAAGATTCAAAGCATCTGTTGTTGAATAATCAGCAACAATTTATGACAATTTATATATACAAATAAATTCGAATGTACTAATAATAAATGCAACATAATAATTTGGCTGAGTATGAAAAAAACTAAATTAACTTTAAACAGATACAATAATGATGGAGACTTGAGTACCGCAGTGTTCTTAAAACATAATTTTGTCATTGCTCTATGTGTATAGTTCGGTGGAAGTTCGTTTAATCAGGATTTAACAATTTAAGTCGACATGAGAAGTTGGTTGGCATTTTAAATTTGATAATAGAGAAGTACGTGTTACAATGAGTTTGGCGTACAAAATAATTGCCAAATAAGAGACTCACCATTTAAGGGTAGGAGAGAAATCCTTTACGGAAGAGACTGATGGATTAGATTGCGAAATAGATTGAAAATCAAGTCAAAAATGCACAAAAGCCGGCAGAAGAAATCAAGCTTTGTAGATTCGGACTTTGGTAACCGATTTGAACAATGACCTTTTTTTTTTAAATTTTTTTACAAACAATATTATATACATTAAGAGGAGAGAGATATGTTAAGTCAATGAGTTAGCAATAGTGTGGTTCAAATTCGTCTTTAACGAGAATCGAATCTAAAATCTCTCACTTACAAGCAAAAGCAAAGAGAAATAACACTAAATCGTAGTACTAAATGACAATGATATGATTTTTTTTTTAATAGACAGTTAAAACTTATAGCCTTGCAATAAAGTATTGGTTATTTATTTATTTATTTATTTTTGTGTTGTTGCCAAAACTCGTCGTGTTTGTTCAGCTCTTCTACCACCAATGGTTGCGTGACTGCGCGTAATATCATAGTATTATATTAGAATTTTGAGTTTTAAAGATGTTTATGACTTTTGTTATTTATTTAATTTTGTTCTTACTTGGATTTTTAAGAACTTCTGGGCCTACATTATCTTATCAATATCATTGAGATTGCGATCACTCATAAGATGTTTTAAAAAAAGAAAATAGCGATTTAATTTATATGTATAGTTTGAAGAATGTTACAGCCTTGCAGGTACCCCTTGAAAAGTCGACTATGTCTATGTCAGGTACATAAATTATTTCCATCTAGCCGAAAAATGGCGTGGCATGGAATTCTGCAAATCTGACTAAACTTTCTTTACACACACACACACACACAATTTTTCCTCCAGTCTGCGCCTGGACATTTGTGGTGCCTTGGGGGGTTGCGGCTTAACAGCACGTACATTTCTTATATGAAATTAGTTTTTTAATCGTCATTCCATATAGTCGACTGATTGAGCCACACAATCTGACCAGCAGGTTTAGACCCTGACCAATGTATATTTCATCAAACAATAAAGTCCACGAAGATGATCGATGTTGCTTGAATATTAGATTTCTCAGCGGTTGTGATATGCCATATGACAAGGTTTATACAAGCTGATCAGCTCGGAAAATATTAACCAAGTGGAAGCTGATGTTGCATTGCATCAGCAGTAGATTGGTCATGATTTGGCAAAGCATGGATGCCAGTATCTACAATTAGGTGTCACTGACACTACCATTCGTTATTTTCTTATTCATCAAGTTTAGTGCACAAACTTGTATACTTAGAGTTTGTAAATCCTGTGAATAATTCCATCCTTCGTATTTCCACTGCTATTTACAATTAGAAAACAACTGCAATATTATTGCGCCAACTAGTAGTCTTAGGGCCGCCGACTCGGATCCAAACTTTTTAATTCCAAATGTGCTAGAGTAACTTCATTCCTTTGTATTGGACTATTATTTCGGATTTGTAATCAACTGTCATATTATATTAGGTCCTTAGTATCATTTCTTTAATTTTTTTTTCATTGAGGAAAAACATTAAAAGCAATTATTCGCCCTGTTAAGGAATACAGAGAAAATCTGGCCTTATAATTTGGATGAAAAAAAGGCTTGCCGAATATATATACAGCTAAGAAGAGTACATAATGGAGACAAAGCTATTTTGGCCAAAATCCAAATTATTTGAGTTCTAAAGAGGTATGCAAATGCAAGAGTACATTTCTTGCACAAAATCAATTCTTGTATTGTGCTTTGAAAGTGTGGGATAAATATTAACAATCAATGACAAATTTATATATGCTAATAAATAACAAATGCAAATAAATAATTTAACAGAGTATGAACAAAACGAAATAATATTAAACAGACAAACTGAATATCGAGGCTTGAGTACTGTAATGTCCTTGAAACAGAAATTTCGTCCTTACTCTGTACTTGTAGTTCTATGGACGTCTGTCTCACAGGAATTCAACGATCTAAATCAAGATTCCAGCATCGGAAAATTAGACTTCTGACAAATTTCTTTGTGATTCTCTTAGTAAGAAGTTTTGGGATTGTAGAAGAAGAATTTGATTTTTTGTGTGTTCTAAATGCCATGCAGATGAATGTTATATAATAGGTTTATGCCTGTTCGCAATAGGTATGAGAATGAGATGCATCTGTTAGGAGACATCTTCTCAAAGGGGTGCTTTATTCTCTAGCATTCTTTCATCACTTCAAACTCATCTTTATGTCTTCTTAAAGGGGTGCTTTGCTCTCTGGCGTTCTTTCACCACTTCAGACTTCATCTGGAAAATGAGTCTGTTGATATAAAAATTAATTAATTAATTAAATATGAAATTAATTATTAATTCAATTATATATTAAATATATATTAATAATCAATTAATTAACGCATCCCAAAGCCCAAATCCAAGGTTCAGTACAACTTTATTCTCTATGGTCCATGACTCTAATCATTTTCTAAAAGGGACAAAGCCTTATAAAGTGGGGGAACCTTTTGGTGGTGACCAATGTGGGACAATAAAATATCTTTCTAAAAAGAACAAAGCCTTATAAAATGAGGGAACATTTTGGTGGTGACCAATGTGAGACAATGAAATATCTACTTAAAATTTCCAACAGAAAGTGTATAATCAGATTAGTATTGACCCGGTTTCTCTTAAAGACAGTCTTGTATCATTTTATTTAGCCTTTTCTTTACTGGTTTTACCAAGTTTGGCTTTTTTTATTGATACGAAAAATATTTTACATTAATTCAATATAGACTGTGAGGTGAAGAATTTGAACTCGGTTGCATAGGGATAACAACATTTGCTTTAGCCAACATGGCTATGCCTGCGTTTGCTACATGTTTTTACCAAGATTAACATAAGAGATTGATCCTTCTAGTTTTGAGGTAGGCTTGATTCATATGAATATTTGATTATTTTTCCGTTTTTTGTATTGCAGGTTTCATTCCTAAGATGTCTCCAGTTTCAGGCGAAATGAATGTTTGCGATGGTGAGTTTGAGTTTTGTCATTAAAGGTTAAAATTCGTGAGAAATATTTTTGTTTTTGGACATTACAAAGGGTTAGAAAATTAGGAAAGGAAGAACCATTTGTCATATATATTTATAGTGTAATGCCGTGTTTAAAATGGTAACTTAGAATCCTATATTGACACTAAGACAATCTCCAACTCCTGCGTTAAAACCTAAAACTTTTAACCCGTTGTCGATGCACAAAACCGGAGATCTTGAAACAACGTAAATCCGACCGTGAATCTGCAAGTAATGTAAATGACACAAGATGTATCGTGGTTCACCCCAAGGTTTGGGCTACGTCCACATTGATTATGTATTTATTTGAGGTGTTATGGAAGTGAGGGAGAGAGATTCAGAGCCTCTGAGGGAGAGAGTGAGATCTCTGATGGCCTATGAATTGGCCTCTTCTAATTGTGAGGGTGATGGGTCATTTTATAGAATAAGGACTCCTCACTTATTAAATATTTGCCCATTCCTTTATCACATAATTACATTTAAGTCCCCCGAGTATTTGTACGAGATCTAAATATGAGGCCCTAAATATGGTATAAATAGTAGTCCCCCAAGTCTTCAGTCAAGAGAGTTTTTTGGTTGGAGACTTGAAATTTAGTCCATGTGTGGGCCGAAGTAACTAGATGTTGCCTTGAACTGATGTTCGATATAAGGCAGTGCTCAATCTGAAATGATGCTTAACTAGAAGTAGCACATGCTGCGAGGCTGCTCGGCTTGTGACTTATGTTGCCTTGGTTGGCTCGGCTTGTGGCGTTTAAGGTGAGGGAGTCTCTTTTATAGAATAAGGGTTCGCTCCTCAATACATAAGTGATGAGATAGAGTTGATGCTCGCGGCGAGGCGGTTGCTCAATAGGTGGCGTTGCTCTCTAATGAACGTGAGGGAGTCCCTTTTATAAAATAAGGACTCGCTTCTCAATACATAAACGATGGGCTAGAGTTGATGCTCTCTAATAATGGTGAGGGAGTCCCTTTTATAAAATAAAGGCTCGTTCCTCAATACATAAATAATGGGCTAGAGTCCCCCAAGTATTTTTCATGAGGCCCAATATATGGTACATAGTGTAGTCCCCCAAGTCTTCGGTCAATAGAGTCTGTTGGCTGGAGACTTTAAATTGAATCCATGTACGGGCCAAAATAGTGGTTGTTTAGAAGCGGTCTTTGTAGACCATGCACTGAAGCTTTGTAGGTGAAGCTTTGAAGTTGGAGCTTTTGTAAATGAAGCTTTTGATGCTACAGCTCTGTAAATGAAGCTTTTGAAGCTAGAGCTTTTGTAAATGAAGCTTTTGAAGCTGATTGACGTGAGTGATGCTCATGAATGTTTATGTTGATTAACATGAGTGATGCTCATGCTCATGGATGTTGTCATGAGTGATGCTCATGAATATTGACATGAGTGATGCTTATGAATGTTTATGTATGATTGATATGAGTGATGCTTATGAATGTTTATGTATGATTGACATGAGTAGTGCTCATGTATAATTTTGAAGTATTGGGCGTACTTTTGATCACCTGGTTGGTGGTAATAGCGGCAGGCTGCCGAATAAATTTGGAGTACTGAGCGTACTTTGATCACCTGGTTGGTGGTAATAGCGGTAGGTTGCTGAATAATTGTGGAGTACTGGGCGTACTTTTAATAGCCTGGTTG